AGAAAACACTGAATACATCAGCTATACCTATTTTTACTATAAGGCATCAGAAGACTTCACACAGTACCAAGTTAACTTCTAGTCACCTTACATACCACTGCATGCATTAGGGCTGGGGAACATTCCCAGAAAATTAAAACTCCCAACAGGAAAAAACAGAAGAAAATAAAGGGATAAGCAAGAGTATCAGTCTGTAATCTCCATTACTAAGACTGATCAACACTAATTATATAAGGACAAGTAAAAATGTAGTTGTTCTGTAGGCTTAAGTCAGATAAGAAACAGTATTACATCTGTCTTTGTTTTATGACTTAGGTCAGGTTAAATGACAATACAGATGCAAGCTCCTCTCTGCCCCCATAAAGGCAGAGAGAAGACCTAATCATTAACAAATCAAGAAAAGTGTTACATAATTAACGATAGTCAATTTGACTATGTATAAAATAGTCTTGCCTTCTCAAGCTTGCAATTCTGTAATACATTTGCCTTATACTCCTACAAGGTATTCGAGCAGCAGAAATACATTCCATGTTGATACTCTATAATACATCAAAGTTAGTAGTTTACTACATAAGAGTAGTTAAGTTTTAAGTTAACCAACAGAATCCCTGTCCCAAATACAACTAGTAATGCACTCTTGACGGGACCTCCTCTCACATCCAAAATAGTCATTACCTTTCACAATAATTTAAGAGGAGCTATAAAATCAGAGCAGGTTTGCATATAAAAAAGGAGCAGGCTGACTCTATAGGAGTGGTAGAAATGCATCAATTAATCAGACCAGTCTTCTGGGTAATGGCAAGTTGAACAAAATTTAGAACACTGCATCTGATAGTACTACAACATATCTAGGAACAAAGAACATGGGTCACATGCAACAGGAGAATGATCACATTAGCATATGGCCATATCAAAAGGTTTTAAAAGTAAAGGACATGGAAACAGCTTAGCATGAGCTTCAGCACTGCACCAGGACGCTTAACACAGAGATAAGGAGATACAGATAGTAGTTGAAAATTGTATTCTTTAGGATAGCTTTCTCATTCTGGCTGTTTCTAGTTCTTCAACATTTTTTGGATCAAGGCTTGATGTCAAAAAAAAAAAAGTAATATAATGTAAAAAATAGGATCTGTGACCTTCATTGAGAATGGATCTTTCTGTCTTTAAAAATTTATGTGGGTATAAATTTCTGAATATTTAAGAACATCAGGACAAAGAGAATGATAGCTTGATTTTTCTCTCAAGGTACCAGGACAAATGCACCGCCAGACAAATTATCAGCACTATTCAGAGACTGCACCATCTCTCAAGGGAAACTTGAGTCTCAAGGGAAACTGCCATTTCTCCTCTTCCTTTCACAGCCTATCTGCAACATGTGGCTATTTGCTCTCAGCTGACACTAAATTAGCATGAGAGGTACACCCAAAATGCTGTTCTGCATTGGTGTTTCCTTTACTTTGTAAATAAAAGCAAGGTCCATCCTAGCAAAAGCCTATGTCTACAAACAACCTCCACATTGTGTCATATGCAATGACAACATTCTTTTGTTTTAGACTCAGTTATGAGGAATTAGATAACTGTACAATTCTTATAACAGTAATCTATTTAATGTGCACAGCAATGTTCTTTGATGAAACGAGAGAAATGGAACATTTTCTGCTCTCACTGTCTTTGGGCAACACAAAGCTCTCGGGAGCTCCCAGCAATCGCGAATGGTCATCTGCATTGCTGTACCACTCAAAGCCCATTACACCAAGAGCTAAGCACATAAAATAAGAACTGCAAGCACTCACACATCTGCTTACCCAACTGGAGAAATGAGCACATAGAAAAACTATTCTGGAGAACTTCCAAGGAGTTCTCCAGAATATGCAACTACAAAATATGCAACTCTAATCAAAGACAGAGAGAACAAAGACACAGGCAATTGTATAAGAACAATCTCTACACAGGCACACATACTTGTGGTTTTAAAAGCCCCAACAGCAGTTCCTGCAGCCAGTTTCAGTTGGACAAACTCTGTAGGGAAGACACTAGCAGGTACATTATTTAGTAAAAGAAAAGCACGCCACTTTTAAAACAGCAAAGTCAGCAGCAGAGCTAGTGCAGAGGAGGCAGCAAATAATCCTTTTATGTACATCAAGAATTTCCACATTTACAAAATCTCTGCATGCTTTGCCAAACCTGTAATGGATGCTTAGCCAGTAAACAAGGATTAGTTTCTGGATGAGAGAAACATCCACAAAGGAGATACAAATTTGTTCAGAACTGGCAAGAGAGGGCTCTTATCTAAAACAAACCACACTTAAGCATGCACGACGGTGTAATGTTCTGTGTTCCTTACGTCAGAAAGCATGGAAACCTTAGGATTTGCTCTGGATCTCTTAAATCATTTCAGTAGGACATTTGGGGCTGAATAAAAGGAGAAAGCCAGGATGAGGCTGGGGAAGAAGTTCCCTAATCCATGGCCAGGGCATGCTGAAGATTGATTTGTCACAGGGAGAGAAGCTAGGAGGAATCTGTGCACAAAACAGAGTGGCTGAAGAAAGGACGGAAGGGCAGATCACATGCTGCTTATTATGGGTCAAGAGGGAGAAAGCTGCCTTTGCACCTCAGGCTGTACTTCTGGGCTTTACTGCGCACATCATTTCCAGTTAGTTCTCGGTGACATTGCTCAACATCCAGAAATTTTTCAGCACTGTGACCGTGGCTTCAGTTTGTCTTGTCAAACGCTAGTCAGCAGAACAGCGCAGTGATCACACCTGAGCACCTGCCAAAAGACTAAGAGATATTAGTAACGCAAAGCAGTATAAAGGGATGTGCGTTTTCATCTAGAGTTATTTCTGCACTGTGCCACAAACTCAGCTCTCCTTTTCCACAAGCTAACAGCAGCAACTAAGGAAACATCAGTCTGCAACACATAAATGCAAGGTGTTTAGGTACTTATTTCAGTCCATAACCCTGAATGATAAGCAGTAGTGTGTCCAATAGGCTGACCCAGTGCTAGGAGATTCCTTTCCCTTCTCCCTAGGCAGGCAAGTTAAGTGAAGATTAGTTTCTTTAAAAGTTCAAAAGAATATTTGAAAATCTAGATGCCTCAAACATTTCCACCTGGTGTCAAAATGACCTATAATGTTTAACAATGCTGTAAAGAAAGCAACTGGCTCAGCAGGCTTCAGGTTCTCCATTATTAGAGGTTTTTGACAGCAGCCAACAAAGACATGAATAATGGTTTAAAAATTCCACTTCAAGACCAGAAAGGGTCTTCCAAAGACACGCACCCCATCTCCTTTTCCCATTTGCTCCAGTTATTGCAGAGCTCACATATAAAATCCTTGTCTGATTTTGAACTTGAAATCGTACGGTAAATCATTAGGTATGCCTGGCTTGTGTGTTACATTCATTCTTCTATAGTCACATAGAAGTCTGGTATTTCAATAGCACCAGCGATAATTACTTAGCATTATATAATTAAGTGCTAAGGTGCAACTTCAGCGCTGGAATTTAAGATATTTCTGCCCTTCATGTTTCTCACTAGTCTTAGGTGTTCCAATGATATATTTTTAAGCAAAAATTATTGGAGCAGTTAGCTATGCAACTAAGCACATGGGCAGGCTTTTTTTGGCCTGATTTACATGTTCCGAAAAGCCTGCCTCGACATGTTTGCTGGCTAGTGGGGAGTCATAATACATTGTTTTGTGTAACCAATATTAAAAGTTTTTTAATACTTTTAATAAGTCTTTTTAATAAAAAGGTTTTTTTAATACTTTCACCTACTCAGTGGGGATGGGAAATAGACTTTTAGGTGCTTTTTTCCACCCACCCCCCTTCAAATATACATTTGAAGAGCGACACATAAGCATACAGAGCCTGAGATTTCAGCGCTGTGAGAATAATCTTATAATATTTACGGCACTTAAATTAAGCTCTGTAAGAACAATGCTCTCCTAATACAATTCTTCTAGTCTTCCAATATATATGAAACAAACTGGTCTCGTACTGAAGTTTCAAAACTATTTAAGTTTTCTTAATTGTGCAATGCCAGTACTAATTCACTGCCATGGCCAAATCCGATCTATGACTATTTATAAAGCGCCTGCTGCTCCACACAGATGCTGTAGATTACGTTACTCAAGCAGTTTATGCCGGCAGCTTGTATTGGCATTCCGAGATGCTCTACAGACAAAATGACTCAAACTGCATTAAAAAGCAATTTAAAAAATCATACGTATTACTTAAAGGCAATTTGCAACAACTACACAAACGTAGTTGTTACTTCCAAGTCTTTCAACCTCAAAATAAATAAAAGTAAAGTAAATAGCAAAAAAAGGTTACATTATTTCCTCCAAGAACTGCCCAGTTTTTAGATATTAAACAGTTAGTGATGTTTGCACAGAGGATGTCTGCGTATATGATATTAAAACATGAAAGCATCAGAACTCTGATCATCTTTTGCAAAACTACAAGAAACAAGCTAAGGCTTGTTCAGTTTTTAAATACCCAGACTTTTCTAACAATGATCACAGCCCTTATAAGGGCCACTAAAATTATTAGGGAAAAAAACCTAATAGCCCGATCACCACAGGTATTATGAAATCAAAGCACATAGCCTTTTATAAAAGGCTAATAATGTTTTGTAAGACTTTCCAGTGACTCCAAAGAACCAGCATCAGTTTTGATTGATGGCCACCATCTTCAAACCAAGCTGCAAGAAATTTAGTAAGATGAAACATTTTGCCTTTACACCAGAACTTTCTGCCCCTCAGAGGTTAAATAGAAACCTGTGATTTATCATCTGATAAATTTTTTACTAAATCCCAAAGCAAAAGCAAAAGACAATATGCATTTTCTAAGGCGTCTGACTGCCACACCACCTTCCCTGCAGGTTTTTCTACTATTGCAGCCCACTCAGTTAAACATAGTAAGTGTTTTAATCAGCTTTAAGGGCAAGGGCCTGGGGGATGGGGGAGGTGGGGGGAAGGCAGGGAGAGATAGATCAAAATGAGATCTTACGGGATTTAACCTTCACTACACATTGTGCTAGTGCCATGGACTTACTTTAAACATCAGTAATGTACATGTTTTCCAGTAACATCCATAGAAAGAATATGCACTTTGTATGTTTATAGGAAGCTATGAAAACATCTCTCTAGGTTACAAACCTAGACAAGCAGTTATTCGCTCCGATCCTTTGGCTCTCGGTATTTCCACTGGATATAGTCAAAGATGTCTTTTTCACATTCTACTGGTAGGGCCTCCCCAGCAACTCCTGCAAGCAAATTACAGATGCTATTTGAAAGGCGGAAGGTCTGTACAATCCTGAAATGCCAAACGCGTTGCAAGGTTAAGACAAAACTGCTGTAAGTAAAACAGACTTAAAATAAAATACGCCCCCCTCCCTGACCTTTTCATACAGTGTTTAGGTATTGATTCTCATTACTGTCAAAAGTAATTTTGGAGCCATGTGGTTATGCAGTTAAATATATTTATATTGAGATATATATATAGATATATATAGTCAGCCGCTCTCTGAAACAAAGCAACCAAAGGACATGACGTAGATTGTTAAATGAGTGAGAAACCACGTATTTGCTGACACTGAAAAAACAGTCTTACTGACCTAAAGATTCTAAGTACATTAGGTGGCTCCAAAAGAAGTAACTCTGTGCCACAGTGCTGCCTATATACATAAGTAGGCTGCCTCTCCCTGCTATAATGGTGTCCAATACCAGAGAGAACACTGTGAAAAATTTAATGAACTACAGTATTTATGAGAAGTATTTCCAGTACACTGAGAAACCAATTTAAAGAGAAGATCACACAAAGCAAGTAACTAGAAAGAATACTCTGTGCAAAGGCCCAGACTGACCAGTGACACCCAAGGGACGGATTGTATACTCATTGATCGTGAAGCCCATTTCCAGAGCGTGAGCTCTCATGTTCTTATTGAATATATCACTTCCTGTGAAATACAGTACACCACAGTAATACTGATCTTTGGGGATAAGCCTAGAACAAAAGTGGAAGAGAAGTACAGATTTAGAACAAATACGTAACAAAAAAAGTTGCAAGCCATTTGGAATTCAGCCATTCACTGTTCTAGGTTTACTTCCTATTTACATGCACACATTCTGCAACTCTGTACATTTGATTTTCCCACAAGCCAGATGCGACAATGAAGCGAACTGTGTATCTAAGAAAGGTTCATCATATCTACCCTGACCCCGAAGTTACTGGTGTTCAGCCACTACGTGGTTGTGGTGCTTGCACTCCTGCCAAGAATTAATGTCAAAGCAGTATAATAAAGTAGGTCACAATTCTGAAATTGGATACAAAGTCATGATTTAAAATACAGCATTCTTGCTAATAACCTGTTGTAGATACTGGCAGCTGTACAGCAGCTCCTATACTGCAAAGGAATTAGAAACCTAGTAAATGCCACATTCTGAACGTGGAAGTAAAGATTTGAATGCAGAACTTGATGCAAATGCCTACTATGTTGCAGATAGGTAAAGCAGGGTTTGGGGGGGGGTTTAGGAAGGTGGGAGGGGTTGTGTGGTGGTGGCGTGTGTACCGGATATCAATTCTCCTATGTGGATAGGCTGTTCCATCTTCTCTATTTGGCAGCTGACAGACACCCTGCAAGGAAGTAAGGAAAGCAAGAAATTAAAAATGAAATTAAACAGATTTGAGATCAATCGTCACCTCCCCACCCCTAAACAACCTCTAAACAATCCTCAGTCATCCCGGAGAGCAAAGTTAAATTCCCGCTGAACAGATATTTTAGTAGAACATCTGGGTGTAATAGTACCATGAATCACTATTTTACACTGCTAAGAGAACCACAGTTCAATGTACCATATAACTGCTTCTTAATTTTTTATTACAGCAGGATGGATGACAGGATTTCTCGTTTTCCATTCCTCTCCCCTAATTATTAGGCTCTTCAGTATGTACGAACATCAGCAGGTTAAGGAAAATGCAGATGAAGCTCAAGTGAATAGAAATTTTTAAAAAAGTTTTTTCTTGAGAAATCCTCTGCCACGTTTCACTGCAAACTGCTTTGTAATCTTCATGCCATTCACATATCAGCCTTTTCTCTCCTTCCCTAGTCTATGATCACCTTAAATGACCGTGCAGTGGGGGGAGGGACACGAACCATAAGCAATGATGAGAAATGTTTACAACTGTTTCACCAATTGCAGCTTCATGCTGAGACAACTTCTACTTCTAGCTTTGTTTTGAAAGCTTAACATTGCTTATGCTTTTAAAGTTTTTAAAGTTACATTGTCTGTCTCCTTACTGAGACTTGCTTTTCTCAGATTCTCAGCTGCAGTCATATTTCCATTTTTACAACATTCCTTTCTTAGTTTCCACTTTGAACCAAGAGGTATTCCACAACTATTTAAGACTGACAAAATTATACAGAGCAAACGGTCAAACTGTAATGAGCTTGTCAAACTGTGAATTCAAACTGGGAATGCAGAGCATCTCTGCTTTTGGCTCACAGATAACATACATGTAGCTTTAAACCCATAAGGTATTCACACTTAAACCATTTGGCAAGAATAAGAGCATCTTTCACTTATTCCTCCTAAAGACAATTTCCTCCTCAAACAAACAAAAAAAAAGCCATCAAGCTTCATTTCCTCTCAGAATGCAACACAAACTAAACTGAAGACAAATTCTTTTAGCTCTTATTTGAAGCAAAACAAAACCAACCAAGAAAAAAATAATCAAGTGCTCCAACAGGCCCTTTCATCTTGGGAAAGCAATTATCTTTAACTGTAGTATTATATATTTAAGTATTTATGCCTTCCAAAAGATTAGCTAAATATAATCCTATCTTGATTCCTGAACAGAAATTCTTAAGTCATGAACCCCTCTGCAGGACCACTCCTCTGAGCTTCCAAGGAATTCCATAAAGCCAGTATGTGTGACTGACAGGAACTAACCAGTCTTCATTTCCACTCAGTATTGCTTATGGTTCTACACTTCTCTGTTAGAATTAACTTTCAACCAGCCTGTAAGACCAGGATACCAGGGGCCTGTAAAGAAAACTAAGTGAAGCAAGAGAACACCCAATCCACATGTTTAAGGAAAAAAAAAAAAAAAAAAAAAAGTTTTGCTGTGAGCAAAGAACCTAACAAAATGAAATGTTTCCGTAATTCATTACTTTTTTAGGCATCCCACATATTCCCTATTATATCCTGAGTCTAGCAGCTCATCCATTAAATCTGCTGTACAACAGAGTTGACAAAAAAGGAGACAAAAGTATATTATGTATTAGACAAGACAAGGTAAACACAGGCCTAAGATCAAATATAGCATTTCCAAGGTCTTGAGAACAGAGTTACAAAAGTGGTCACTGGTGCTACTAAAGTAGTGAGGTTGTGCTAAGGTTCTGGGGAAACATCAAGCAAAACAGAGACACAAATGGCATTGTGTGATGAAGGTTACTGCAGTTCAGAACTACATAAATACCTGTAGATTTTCTAATACTGAAATCCTGCCATGAGAGATTCATGAAGACTTAACTGCAGAAAGTTTTTAAGGGGGGCGGGGGAGGAGGGTGTGTGTAAAAAAAAAATCATTAAAAAACCCCACAACTCCAGCAGTCCAAACAACATATGTTTTATATACCCTAGCTTCTGTCAGGAAAGGTAGTTTCCCTGCACTGTCCCCCAACACCCTTCGCTACCAAAAAAGCCTTACCATGAATTTGGTGTCGCCTTTAGAGAGCATATCTGTGACAAAGTGGACTTTTTCCAGTTGTTCTACAACTTGACGTAGAAGTTTTGGCTAGGAATAGTGACAACAGAGAAGAAGTTATTTCACAAATACCAAGAATATCTTACCCATTTATCAGGCAATGATCCACATAAGTACGGGACATCACTATATGTATTATTGTACATGAAACTTAACTTGGGGGGGGGTGGTGTTAAAATAATACTGAGAAAAAGCTAATAAAGTTACAATTGTGCAACATAGAAAAAAAATCCACAAAATCCCCATGACAGATTGCTTTCATTGGAAGTGACAAAACTCTTTTCTTGGTCTGAGTTTTCAACTTTTAAGCAATGAACCTATAGAAGCAACACAAGAAATACAAACTGTCATTAAGACTTCTCCAGAGTTAGTCCCAAAAGATTACAGGGGCAGCAGGACATTTAATTCTCATCCAAAAGATTATGGCTACATAAAGAGATACTTTACCTTTAATCCCTGCTTTATCCAGCTAGCTGTTACAGTTCTATGCTGTAAAAGCACATGAATTAGAGGGTGTGGGGGGAGTGCGTGTGAAGGGAAGAAAAGGGACAGAAGGATAAAAGTAAATAAACTGGATAGTTCTGTAAGGGGAACACAACATAGTACACGGACCTGAGAAATTATTCTAACTCCTTAAAATAAACATGGTGATCCAAGAGAAGAGTTTATTATTACAGTAACAAAAAGATGCAAGAAGCTGCAATACAAGTCTGAGACTACACATCTGAATGTAAACACAGCCTTGTGGAAGTAGTGCGCAGTACTGATCCACACAAGCAGAGAAACACACCTGTTTGGATGATTCAGATGTGAAACTCGGATGGGTTAGGAGAACATCCATATCACCGCTTGACTCTGCGCCTAGGCAAGAAGCAAAGAAAAATCCCTCTGTGTATGACAAAGTATACTAATATTGGTGAACATCCATCTAACCTCTTCCTATAAACATGTTTTTCTGGTAGAAAACAGTCACTATTAGAGATATTTGTGAAAAAATGACCTTAAAGAAAGATAACCTTGTTCTTCCATCAAGAAGTTTATATCCCCACATATCTCAGAAAATACCCAAGAATTTCTTGCTGTACTCTATAGCAATGAAGCACAAACGTTGTTAATGTAAAAACAAAGCAGACAATGCACACATTACAATATACTACTTTTTACAGTGGCAGGGTGGAGAAGCAAGGATTTAGGCGGGTGTTTTGTCACTGAACTAACCAGTCAAGACAATACTAACAGGAAAAAGCCAGGTTGCAGCATAAACTTTCTCTCTAGAACACCACATATATTAACGAGTCTTGCTTATTAGCCCAAAATAAACACAACAAGATCACAGAGTACCAACCTCGTCTAAAACTGCCACAAACCGTAGCAATATAGTTTGGGTCCAGCTTCTTTACCTCTTCCAGCACAATTTCCTACGTAAAAAGGAAAGATGTGTGTTTAGACGTGTCATTCATTGGCCATCAGTGCCTGTCATCCTCGATAAAGATATTCTTACCTGCATTTGCAGCATTTCTTCCCTTGGGATTCTTTTCTCAAAATCTTCAAAATATCTGCATATATAAAAACAAAAGTGTCTGAAAGATCAGCAAGGGTAGCATCCTAAAATTTTAGTCAATTAAATGTATCAGAGGAAAGAATACAACTTACATTACTGTCACATCACAAAAAGCTCCCCATTCTCACCAAACATCTTAGAAAACATCTTGCCCAGCACTAAAAACTCCCAACTGCCAGTTTGACAATGCTTAGAAGATGGTTTCATTACATATCTTTTTTACTGTATATGAAGAACTGCTATGAGGTGGGAGTAATATTACCATATAACCAATTGGTTTATATTTACACAGCTCTCTGAAAATACAAAAAGGTTCCTGACAAAACTCAGTCCACCAGCAAGCAGGAGAAACAGGTCTCTCACCCATGGTCAGAGGGGATCTCTGTCGGAAAGAGCTAAATGGAAGCTCACAAGTCAAATACAGCTCCTGGTATTTTTGCAGGCAGCTTTAAAAACAAGACTGCCAGCATGCTGCTTGACTGTGGAGAAAGAGGCCAGGTGAAACAATGAGACCCCTGACCAGCAGCTGCATTCTTCACCCCTCCAGCACCAGAACCAGGGACAGCAGGCACTGGCACCCATACCGCACCCTCGGAGCCACGTGTTCCCTGACTAGCTAGAGCTGGCACCACACAGAACCAATTCAGATATAGGGCTTTCTCTGGTTCACTTGCAGCTTCTTGCAAACACAGCTATAATTCTTCCAGAACTAGCAGCACACTGGAACAGCCACTCAGCAAGCAGCATTCAAGCTGATAAGCACTGAGGGACAGACACACATTCTGCATGGCATTCTCAAGTTCAGACACGCAAAGGTCTTACCTTGCTCACAGCACACAACAAAAATTGCCTGGGTCAGCTTTATGCAGATCCCCAGAAACCATCACTGCAACCTTGCTAAAGTGATTCTCCACGAGCTAACTGAAAAAGTAATTTGAAATTCATTTCCTTCTGGATGGAGACTAAGTCTACTGAACATCAACCCCAATGAAACAAAAAGTTCTGAATAACCACTGAAAAGCATGTAGAGCACACAGAGAGAACAGAACCTTACTTGGCCTGTGTAACCTTACATTACATCTCAGTGTCTGAAGGAGTCATTACAAAAGCCAAGCACTTGCACCCAAGAAAGCTTACTTCAACCCAATTCGCTGGTGATGGGTCAGCTTGTGCTCATTTTTTCTTAGATCTAGAAGAATTAAGACAGACAAAAAAAAGTTACTCGAGGACTAAAAATCTTACAGTAAGTTTCCACTAACGCAAAGATGATGCGCACAAAGAATACATAACAAGAAAACGGCAACCTCAAACACAAAGGAAGAGATTTTAAACTGACTACTCAACAGCTGATAGATGAGTATAAATGCATAGAGCACTTCCCGATAAAAACTTAAATAGACCATTCACCTCAAAGCCAAAATCCCTGTTATTTTCCACATAATCTGTAAGTACTGTACTTTGGAAATGTATAAGATCCTAAAGTTAGCGCACAGGCTAAAGGCATTACATACACTTTCTTCAAAGACTAGGGTATGCCTGCTATCACAGTACCACTGTGGAACAGGCACCTTGACAGAAAAAAACATTATTGGAGTGTGAACTGAGGACTCCAAGTTACACTTACCTTCTAAAGTCTTAATTCCTTCCTCGACAAACTTCCTAGCAGCCGCAGGACTGCAAAGAGACAAGGCAACCTGCCATCAGGAACAGCAAGAATCTTACAACACTGAAAAGGACATTAGAATTCACTGTAACTGCCTAGGTTCTTCAAGGCCAAGACTGAAGTTGCTTCTGATGCTTACCCTCTTTTCAACACAGGCATTTTGAGTTTGTACTTTCAATCAGCAGGGATGGCTATCCAAGGCTTGGCCTGCACATTTTTAGCATTGATATAACTATATAGTGATCTATAATTGTAAAAAATAAACAAAATCTCACCAAACAGGCAATATTGCTTTAGACAACAATACCGAATGCATGGTAAGAACTACTTTAACCACAATCAGTCTCTGAACCAGCTTAAGGCAACAGCAACACAAAAGTGTCTTTAGACTACCACTTCAAAAAACCCAAAAAGGCTCCAGTTTACAACCTAACAGTACAGCAAAGCAGTCCCAGCTCCAGTGTGGCCGGAGAGTTTGCCTTAAGCACAACACTCAAGCAAATGGCTGAACCTTTTTCCCCTTTAAGTGTTTGTTGTTAGATTGCTCTCTGTGACTCTGCAGGGAAAGAACAACGTTTCAACTGAGAGACAGGTACTCAAGTAATGCTATACCCAGATACCTATCCGGTACCTCAAAATGCCGAGAACTGGCCTGGAAACATAGTCCCTTCCTGGGGAACTGCTCTGGAATCCCATGGTTACAGCTCCACCACCCTTAAAAGACTTTGGATCCACTTCCTCAATAAGAGTCTTACATTACAATAGAAATGTCAAATCTTGACCTGCCGTTTACGTCCTTTCTTACCCTTCCCTGCATCTCTTGCCAGATTCCAGACCAAGAGAGGCAATTTCTACTGTCCCGAGATGGGACAGCACCCAAGCTTCTCCTTCTGCATCCCATCCCAATTTCTCAAAGGCATCCTCAAATCTCAGTATATCCTCAAACTTTGAGCACATTTTCCCCCATAATTACTTAAGAACAATTGCATTCCCTACCCTCAACCTCAAGGGTTTCAAATGCTGCAAAAGAGCCCTGATGTGGTAGGGGTTTTTTGTTTTGTTGGTTTATTTGATTTCATTTTGTTGCCTGTTTCAGGGCTCTACTACTCACTTTACAAAAACACGAGAGCGCACCACTGTCATTGGACCCAACTTCCCACCAAAAGTCCCAAAGGGACATCTTACTACCACTCTTCTCAGTCTTTCACGCTTCCATTCTTGACCGGCTCCCTCTGTCCCTCCCCTCTCAGCTCACACACAGGAACTTCCCATTTCCACTCTGTTGCAGTTTAGCCACAGCCTGCAGCTGAGCAGCAGACAGCCTCACTCGCTTCACCCCAGCCCCCATGGCAGGATGGGAAGGAGAATTGGAAGAAAAAGGTAAAACTCGTGGGTTGGGATAAGGACAGTTTACTAGGACAGCAAAGGAAGAGGAAAATAACAACAACAACAGTACTCATAACAGAACATACAAAGGGGGTGACACACAATGCAATTTGCTCACCAGACCTGCATCACCTCCCTGGCCAACGCCCTTTATATGCTGAGCATGACATCATATGGTATGGAATACCCCTTTGGCCAGTTTGGGTCACCTGTCCTGGCTGTGTCCCCGCCCAGCTTCCTGTGAAAGTTAACTCTATCCTAGCAGCTAAAACCAGGACACGCTCCTCTACCGCAAGGTCTGCAATCAATGCGTCTATACCCTTTCTTCTCAGCAACTCCTGTCATCGTCATTAGGATTGATGTCTCAGTGTGGGCACTACAGCATCAGCTCAAACTCATTCTCTTCATTATTTGCAGTCACCCAAATTCTGTTCATAGCTTCACCACATAAACAGGAAAAGGAAAGAAAGTCAAAAACCAACCAAACAAAAAAACTTTACCCAATGCCAGTAACTCGTGTTAGGAGATTGATAGATGCACTTGTATCATCTTGTCGAATCTGCAAAAACAAAACAACACAAACCAAACCCTGCTTTACTCCATTTGCAATAAAGAAAGAAATCTTGAGAAGATAAAACAGCTTAGTCAGACTCTGGTTTGGAGCCTCACTATAAATCAACACAAAACATTACCAAGGGTCGCACCGTGTATCACAATAATGCCATATGTACCACGCCTGACAACTGTCTAGGTACCCACGTTAAGGTGAACAGCATGATCACACCACAAAACTCCACAGCCTTCTCACAGAAGACATTCACATGCTGATTATATAACCTAAAAACATTTTCATAAATAGATCTTTTTGAGATTTTTGGTGGAGCTTCTCATTCCCTGCTTTCTACTTGCCATAGACTCCATGTCCACCACTCTTAAGCTTGACGTCAGTCTTTCCAGGGACAACAACAGAAATTGCACAAAGGAAGTAGGCTACTTTGCAAGTTACAAAGAAAAAGCAACTATTGAGAAACAAAGCATAAGGGAAAGAAACCCACCTTTTCCAATTTGCGTAGTTTTCCAGTGGATAAGAACTCATCTATCTTCTCAGCTATTTTAGCACCTACTCCATCCTAAATATCGTGGGGGAGGGGAGAAAAGGTAACTTCAACATAACTTAAAGCCATTATATGTGGAAAAAAAGGAAAGCTCCCCAGAATTTAGAGTCCAGAAGGAACTACAGAGCCACCGAAACCACAATAAAATATCAGACCATAAGGAAGCACAAGAATTCAAGGGTACAACACCGGCAGCATAAACACTGTAAGCCAAGGGCCTTATTAACAGTTCCCCCAAATTCTGAACAAGGCTTTGATTATTACCGCTCAAGTTCCCCACAATTAGTGAAGCGGTAACACACCAAACG